AACCGTGGGATGCGGGCCCCTGCAGGAGGGCCGGGCCCAGGCTGGGTCCCTCCGCGGAATCGCTCGTGCCCTTTGCGCGCCACGCTTTGCGGGGCAAAACGTAACGGAGCCCCCCAACGCCCCCGACCCAGCCCAGGCCCGAGATTCTCAGAGGCGTCCCCCAATCTTGTGCGTTCGACCCCGGATGGAACGGGGCTCCGTTTATTTACCCATTGTGAGGGTGGTCGGGCGAGGAGTGGGGATTGGAGGGAGAATTTTCCTGATTCTAAAATCCTTAAATGGGGGGATAAGGGGGCACTCCTCCCCCCCGTTGTCGTCTAGAGTTCAGATTTTTCATCCATAAACCAGAAGTCAGAGGACAGTTAACTGCCCATTCATTGCACCCTGGGTCGGCGTGGGGGTGCTGGAAGGGCTGGGCGGTCAGTCGGGCCAGCGAGCCCACAGAGCTGCTCAGTCCTGCCTCCTCCCGAAAGCGTTCAGGAGCCTCGCGTTTGAAGTAGCCGAGTCAGGCAGGGAGGGGCGGGGAGTCCTTCCGCCGCGCTTAGGAGGGGCTGCATTGCAGGGGGAGACTGAGCCGACCGACTCAGTCACCGAAGAGGGAGAGGGAGCGAGGAGACAAAGCCGGCGAAGCCCCCACAGCGGTCCTTCTCTCCATCCAGAGCAGGCGCCGGAGCCCTGCGGTCCGCCCTCCGTCTTTGGAACACGCTAGTAATCCGTTGATAACAGGTAAACTAAACTGAGGGAAGGGGCAGGGGCCGCAAAGGTAGAAGAGCAGCCGCTTCTGGTTAGGTCGAAGACCCCAGATGAAGATGGGGTTGGGGACAGTTCACGCGCAGAGAGGGCGCCGCTGTGAACAACGAACGGGTAGTTATTTGTTCACCGTTTTGCATCCCTTCGCTCAGGCCTCCATCCATGCCTTCTAATCCTGTACACAGACATTAATTATTAACCACTTACTTGTAGTTATTTCTCAGTATTTAGCACCTTATTTCAAGCATCTATTTGCCTATAATTTATTGTCCGATGTATTTATCTTCAGTCTAATTATCTGTATCTTCCTTTTCAAGCTGTAATTTGTTCTGCCAGGTTTTTTTTGTTGGTTTTTTTTTTTTTTTTGATGAATCTCTAGCCCTACTATATCACCCTAGCTTGTACTTCCCTGTGTTCCCCATTTTTTTTTTTGTAGTGTTCTGAGGTGTCCACCCTCACTCCTAGAGGAGTTTGCGGGGAGGGAGGTGAGATAATATCGAGATGAATCCTCACCTTTCTTTTAACAGTCTCCTCCCCATCTCAAACCTTTCCTCCAAAGAAAGGCAGCTTGAGGTAGGAAGGCGGAGGCCTCTGTGTTAGGGAACTGCCTGATCCCACATTGAAATCAGTATAGCGCATCAGAGCTAGGTATGGGGGCAGATTCTGGAAAAAGAACGCTTATCTGCAGCTCAGTGGAATAGGTTGGGGGGACATGGCTAATAGGAAAATCCAAGCCCAGAATGAGACACTTAGGAGATGCTTGCCAGAGAGCTTCCATTCCATTCCATCACCATCCCTTGTCCTCCTCCCATCGTGGCTGCATGACACAGCAAGGCCTGGCTGGGTAGGCCCTGGATTTCCACTAAGGGGTCTGGACAAAGGGTATTTGGGTGTGTCTCTGTGGCTCAGAGAGAATGCGTCTTTCTAGACTGTATATTTGCTAATCATGTATCTCTAAGACTAGACAGTGACATTTAGAAATTACCTAAGGATAATGGGAAGCATTTATCGAGCATGCATTATGGTACAAGGCACTGTCCAAGCCGTTTAAGTAAATGAGAGATGTAATATAGATGAGGTGTGGGTGGAGAAGATTTGGGGAAGGGAAGAGAAAGCTAGCTGAAAAGAGACCTCTTTCAAAATTTGGGTACTTAAGAATTAAATTCATACTATATTAAATTTTTAAATTTCATAACCATTGTAAAGGGTATTTCAGCTCCAATTTTCTGTGTAGTCAATGTTCTCGATTTGATTTTAAGTGCCATAAATGCTTGTATGTCTTTCTAGAATGTAGGTACTCTCTGTACCTGTCTCTGAGTCATAGCTAGCGATTTTAGGCGTTTTACGTTAACATTTCGTGAAATTTCTCTTAGCTTTTTGAATTGGAAGAGCAGCTCTGCCAGACACCATTTGTCAGTAGCATGACGACTGACAAATGGTTTCGGACAGTTTGGATGCGTTGGCTGGCTGTAAGAAAAGGAGTCAGTTTGTTAAAGAGGTTTTCCCTTTCTCAGATTCTAGCTCACTCTCCACTGCCTTTTGATTTTCACCATTCAGATCAGAATCGCAGGAACAATCAACACCTAACCCACTGGAGATCTGTTCTCCAAGAACTAAGAATTTTGCAGGTTTTGAGAATATTGGTGTAGGATTATATTAAGCTGTAGGCAACTATCTGTGTACAACACATCAAAAAAGGGTCAGGTCAGACTGGGAATCTCGAGACCTGGGTTCTATCCAGACTGGCTAGAAGGGTTCACGGTCACTAGATAATTTCTAAGCTGTCTTCTAGTTTTAAAAGTCTATGATCTTTTTTTCCTCTTATGATTCTAGTTTTTAAAGAGCCTATTTTTTGCCCAGCATTATATACTAATCTCACTCTGGAGTGGACTGGTAAGGGAGGGGATATAGAAGAAGCCAGCTACGTAGGCAAATAACTGGTAATATTATTTAAAAATCCCTGTGGGCAGAAGTCAGTAACGCTGTTGACTCCTCAAGTTTGCTTCTTAGGCTCTATAGTCCTAGACCTAAGGCGGGGTTGGTTGGTTGGTAGATACAGCCATTTTTTATAGCTCTCCGTGCACATGTTTCTGCAAATTACTGTGGAGATGATCGGAGCTGAGTATCATAGGCTGATGACCTCATCTTTCCAACATGCTCCCACCCTGTTCCAGTCCCTGCATCACATTCTTTCTAAGTGGCTTCTCTGCTGAGTAATGTTCAGTTCCCAGAGCTTATTTTGGAGCTTGAACTCCAGAAGAAAAGGAGCAACTCAGAATTCACTTTTAACATCCTCGTCTACCCACTCACCACTCAGAAAGCTGCTATACTCACACATAGATGTGTTCTTGATTAAGGTTTCCTCTTTCTGCCTTAGTAGAGACATTTCGCATTTATATGGGTTATAGTTTCCATGGGGTAGTGGTGATCATGTCCCCTAACACATTACATGGGGGCATTTTGGAACCTACTAGGTTCCAAAGGCCACTACTTAGGAGTCTCGAATAGCGTGTTGGAGGAAATGCTGAAAAAAAAATACCAGGGTAGATGGAAGTGAGCGAATTTAAGGCAAGCTTGGTGAGAGCCAATAGAGAATACTGAAGGAAGACCTTTTGAAAGGGGGCTCTATTTTTGGAGGCAGTGGAATGTTCTTTCTGCTCCTTTGGGAACATTCCATGTAATCTTTCTTGCCCCTTCCCTTGGCTAGTAAGCAGCAGGGTGGAGGCTGCGGGGAGGTATTACAGTCGTACAACATCAGGGTGTGGATGGGATGAGCAGAAAAGGTAATAGAAGTACTCATTAAAGCATGGGAAAGTATCTAATTCTGTTAAAGTCTAAACTTTACTTTCCTAACCTGGAATTTCCAGTCCATTTGCTGACTTCATCGGGTATACCCTTGCACTGGAATCAGAGAAAAAGAGACCCGTTAAAGCATAGGAAAATTCTTTTAGCACCTGGGTTTTGTTCTGAAGGAGGTAGGCCAGAGAGAAATGGATAGGCTATTAAGACTTATCTGTGGACTAAGAGATTGGAGTGGTAAGGTAGTCATTGTATTAAATAGTGAAGGGAAATTAATCGGCAGCCTTGAATGTCTTTTGTGTGCAATGCTCAGCACTTGTGGAAAAAAGTACAAAATAGATGACTGGTTTTTACCCTTGGGGAAACTCAGTCCCCTGAAGGAGATAAGACTATCCCTATACAAGACAGTAACAGTGCTCTGTAAACTGATAGTCAGGTGAAACTACACGGTGTTGGAGGAGATGCTGGAATAAATAGGGTAGGTGGAGCCGAGTAAATTTCAGAAGTCCTGGAAGAGGTGAGTTTATAGTAGGGTTTAGAAGGCAGGAAGGAAAGTAGGAGAAATCTCATGGAAGCCCCTTCCAGAGATACCATGACCTATTAAACCAAAGGCAGGAAAGTCACGTATTTACGAATATAAGAGGAGTTCAGGGCAAAGATTCCTCTAGAGACTTGAGTGGAGTCTTGACACTTGGGTAATATTTTAAGATGGAGTGGAGAGAGTTAAGCAAGACAGGAATGAGCTAGCAGAGAATGTACTACTACAAAGAATGGGGACAGATTCTGGAAGGCTCTGAAAACCAGATTCATGATAGACTTGAAGCAGTACGCAGTAAATGTCATTCCAAGTTGGTGAGAAGTTAGGAAGTGGTAGAAAATGGTAGTAGAGGAAGGGTTCTTGAAGCTTGTCCTAGGGAACTTGGATTACGTACAGAGGCAAATGGGGATGTAAAGTTTCTAAGTAAGGAAAGGCCATGGGCCTTTGCTGTAGCATGACGACTGACAAATGGTTTCTTTCTAGGAAGTTATGAGGGACCCTGTGAGTAGCCAGTACAGCTCCTTTCTTTTCTGGAGGATGCCCATTCCAGAACTGGATCTGTCGGAGCTGGAAAGCCTGGGTCTGTCAGATACATCCACCTACAAGGTCAAGGACAGCAACGCTGGCAAAATGACCGGGCAAGTGACCGGAAGAGAGGAGAAAAACCCTGAAGGCGATGCCCTCCTTGAGTACAGCACGTTCAACTTCTGGAGAGCTCCCATTGCCAGCATCCAGTCCTTCGAACTGGACTTGCTCTAAACCCAAGACTTCTCTCTCCCACCACCTTGCCCTCATTGTCTTCCCTTTCGAGACCCTTCCTTTCCACCCTTTTCCCCTATTAATCTTGCTCTCTCCCCTCTATTGTGTTGAGGTGGTGCTGATGAATCTGCCAGAGGTGTGGTGTTATTTATTCATATATTTATTTATTTATTTATTTATTTTATTTAATTTAATCAGTTCTCAAAAGCCCTTGAGCCACAAAGTGAACAGTTCAAGCAATGAAGTGCTGGGTCACTCCGTCCCCCTGCCTCCCACCCCCACATAATTCTAGAAAACAGGCCAGATGGGGGCACCAGAGAGTAGTATGGCAGTACCAAAAGGAAGGACTAATTTTTTACTTCATTTCAATCAGCTTCAGAGGTTGCGCGAACCTTCCTAATTTCCTGCTCCAGGACAGTAAACACAAATGTTTCCTCAAAGGTTGATGAATATTTTGTAAGTTTTAATTTGAGATTATCTGCAATGAGAAAGTAGGATTTCTATAAAAGGCTAGGCTGGTAACTTTTTCGATCCTGCTCCTTCAGTAATACTCTTTTCCTCAGAGAAACTACCTTTTATATAAAGGTATAAAACACGGGAATAATCCATCATGGAACATGCAAACAGGAAAGCACTGAGTCACTTCAGATGTAGCTACGCGCTCTCAAAAGAGTTTCTTCTTCAAGCCTACTCACTTGACAACTTTGCTTCTGGCTGTGGGTTAAAAACTGTAGCTGAGGAAAATCACTCTTTCATATCTTAACATGCAGTCTTGCTGACTCATGATAATCTGTAAGGTTTTGATTCCGTTTCTAAAAGACATAGGGTTTGGTCCTTAGTATTTTCGACTTGCTGTCCTGCACTTGCGATGTATAATATTGATCAGCGGGCCTCAGGCACAGTTCTTCAGCTACCCTGAGACCGTGGAATGAACAATCACGTTCTGACCCTACACCGTGCCCACTCCGTCCATGATTGTCGCTGCTGATTTGTGCTGCCATTTATTCATTTCTTTAATAAAGATATTCAATCCCAGGACTGCATTCTAGTTTTTTCTCTCTTCACAGGAAAGCAATATAGATCTCAAAAATTATTAGACTTGTTTTCACATGCAGCTTTTATGTCTTTATCTTTCTAATATTCTGCTTGAGGAAGAATACTTTCAGTAGCCTTTATACATTAAAATGATGAACTTCAGGTTGAACAGGTAGGTAACAAAAAGGGTGAAATCATGTTAAAATTATTTAGGGAGAAAGCTGCAACCAAACGCTCTTCTGCTTGCTCACTACCATATTTTGAGGTAGTAATTCTAGGGACCAGTGGCACGAAATCTGCTCTTCCTTATCTCAGCCTAGGTGCCTGAGAAAATAAACGAATTTACCCAAATATGTTATCTACTTCTTTTAAAATTCGCCTCATTAAAAAAATAGAAAACCATTTGGACTAATTTACAAGCAGTTGTGGGGTGCCTCCTATATGAAAGGTACTGAGCCAGACAGCCTAAGAGGATATAAACAGGAATGAGACGAGATTTTGACAAACTCAAAAAAGGAATCTGCTGTACATTAACGATGCCATGAACGAAATCTAGATTAAGTTCAGAAAAGGGAGAAACACAAATCTTCCTCGTAGGTTTTGAAAAGCCCACTGTGGACGACAAAAGCCAAAATCTAACAAAGAATGGAGCAGTGATGTGTCCTTACTGTTTTTACTTATATTGGAAGGGTTTCTCTCCCGACTTCTTGCTGTCCTTAGTCAAGGCTATTGGTGGGTGGAGATGGGGATCAACGGTTCGGTAAAAAAAAAAAAAAATGCCTACATAGGTTTGCAAACTCATGCTCCACGCACTCCTGGGCCCCCCCAAAAGAAATGCTCCCGTCATTTGTTTCACGGCTGGCGCTGACAGCTTGGCTCTGGGGCCCTTACGTTCAGGCTGGAACTGGAACTGTGTCCGTCGGGCACGAGAGTTCAATTCTTGCGCAAAGCCAGAGACGTCCCAAACAGCTCCGCCCGAAGCTGAGACAGGGAGACGAGCTGTTCCCATCGATCCTAACGCCGGCCCGCCAAAAAGCGACCAAGAGGAAGCAGAACCGATGCAGAGTCCAATTTCTCTCCAGCGGTTCGCCTGGTTCTTGGCGCCAAAACCAACCACCGGGCCGTCCCCGGCCGGATCTACACGACACGTCAGCCACGTAACCGACAACCCTCCGCCTCGCTAAGTAGTCCGGCCTAGGATGTCTGGATACACGCTTTTTCACCGCAAAAGGCGTTCGGCGAAAAGCCAGCGAGCCTCGGGGGTGCATCCCCCCTCTGTTCGAATGGAAACGTGGGTCCTCTGATCATTTTCTCTTCACAGATCCCTCCGCCAGTCATGATATTCGCTGAGACTCCACTTCCGGGTCCGCCATTTTGTTGCCTCCATTTCTCCACGAGGGGGGGGTAAAGGCCCCCAAAATATGCATATATGAAAAGGCCAAAAAGTAACCGTCACTGACAGGGAGTCTTAACTAGAGAAGGAAACGGGACCAAACTGGCGGGCTCGGTCAAAGCGCAGCCGGCAGCGTCCCGGACGAGGAGGTGAGGGGGAAGAAGAGATGCGTGGACTCTGGGGGGCGTCAGGGCTGGCAGGGAGAGTGTTGCGAGGAGCTGCACCGCTGCCCAGCCCAGCCCCGAACTTCTGGGTGCAGACACGGCGGCGCCCCTCCACCAGAGCGGGGGCAGCTGGGGGAGGGGGACGAAGAGGAAGGGGATGCTGCTGGGAGGAAGGGGAGGGGACTGGGAGGAGGTGAGGAAGGGGGTGGGTGTAAGACCTGGGGCTGGGGAGCTGGACCGCAGGAAGCCAAGGCCACAGAGGTGACCACTAGAGGGCAGCGCGGGGCCCGGGCCGGGGGCTGCTCCCTGGGCTCGGACCTTGGCTCCCTGCCCCAAAGTTGACACTTTTTCCTGAAAGACGTTATATTGCTGGGAGGAACTGGAGGATTTGTGATAGAGGAGAAAATGGGGACTCAAAATTCTCTGGCCCCAGTAATGGCCTAAAGATTATTGGTGAGCTCGGTAAAGTGAACAAGAGCATTACGGCCCCGCCTCCAGTTCTTGCACAGTTGTTTGTACAGCTGGCGGCCGAGTGGGGACGTGTGCAAAGGAAAAAGGAAAAAAAAAGGTCAGACCATGGATTCTTCAATTCCAATTCTCCTTCCCGTTAGTTCTGTTTTTGCTCACACGTTAGCTCTGTCTATGCTCACACGTTTCCTAGAGCCAGCAGAGCTTCCCATTCCTCTTCCCCTTCCTCGAAGGTTCTCTCTTCCCCACCACACACCGCCTCCCGCCACACACACACACATCTATGGAAAAGGCCATTCTGTGGCTTACCTTCAACAATTTAACAACGTTTTTGGCCATCTGGGACCATATTTTCAACATACCATTTGACCTACCCAGTCCAGTAGAGGTGCTGGTAAGCATCTATTTTCATCCAGGCTTTGACAACAATGAAAGAACTGCCCCGCCCAAACTCATATCGACAAACGTAATTACTCTCTAATAATAGAGTACTTTGTTGTCAAGAGCTCAGGCACTTCATCCATTATTAAAACACGCTTACAGAAAGTGCTCGTGTGTGTTTGGCAGGGGGTGTGGGTGCTTTGTTATTTTGTTCATCTCCAAAGTCCTAGGAGGCAAGTTAGATCAGATTTTGTTTCTTCACTTTCTGAATAGGGAAAGTGGAGGTACATCCAGTAAGGGAGAATGTTTCCATTTGTTTTTAGTGATTAGGGAGCTCAGAAGTGCCTAGACTGTCTTGTCTTAGGCTACATCTCTTGTCTGGTGGATACCACCAGTGTTGACATAGGATACTGGCAGAATGGCACATAGTCCCCTCAAAATGCTGTAATTTTAAAAAGACATTTTACTTTTACTCAAGATAGATGCTTCAGGTTAACTTAAAAAAAAAAGTGACAGGATGGGGGAGAAAGAGCCTTGAAGAACACTTTTCTAGACCTTTTAATAACAGGTGATGACCATAACACCTTATTTACAGTCTAATCCTAAAGTTTATATCTTTGTATAGTAAGAAACTAAACTTTTCATGACCTAAAGAATTGAATGACAGATTTGGCTCAGTTGCCATTCAGTGGGACTGATACACAGATTCAAATATGATTAAAGAAATGTGATAAAGTTAACGTATATGTAAAAGCAGACTACAATGGAAAAAACTGCTCAGATATATTTTGCAAGAGTTCAGATACTGAAGACAGCAGTTTCAGTGAGATAAAATCAACTTATTTAAAGTATCTTGTTTTCCAGAAGTGCCACTTCCCAGGAATGTGAAGCAAACCAGATTTCTCCTTAAACAGATAACCTTAACCTTCAACTGAAGTTGAACTCTGTGTGTGTGTGTGTGTGTGTGTGTGGTAGAGAATAGAGCTGGAATTTCATTATGAAGATGGTTTAATCGTGCTTTGTGTCAGTATTTCTCAACGTCCTGTATGGGCATTTTTCCGTCTGCGATCAGTTATCGCAGAGATGTTAAGGTGTGATGATAGAACTTTTACATATAGTATAATTGGAGAAAATGTGAAGAAGTCATTTCTGACTATTGAACCACCTAGAACTTTGTTCTTGTTTTTAACTGTTAGTAATAAGATAATTAAATTGAAAGGCAGTTTTGATATTTTAAAAGGAAGATAGCCATGGAGAAAGATGAAGTATCCGTTTTCTGTAAGAATGTTTTGCTATCATTTTTTTCTCTAGGGTTTCATGAGTGATAAAACCTGACACTTAGCTCCCATTATAGAAGTTCACATCATTAAAATTCATCCTCTTCTCCCGAACATACTGTTCAGCGGGGCCCAGACTAGATCCTCGGCTAGATTTATTTTGAACAAACTCTCCTGGTGGTCCCCCTGGATACCCATGTTTGCCTAAAGTGCTCTATGATAGAGATTGGAAAATTAAATAACATAGTGACTGAATGATTTATCTAAACCAATGATTCTCAAATTTTCTGATTGAGGGCTCATTTATATTCTTAAAAATGATTGAAGACTCCAGTGTGTTATGTCTATTGATATTTACTGTTTTAGAAACTAATTTTTAAATGTTCATTAATTAAAATACAATAATATATTCATACATGTTAAGATAAATAATACATTTTTATGAAAAACATATCTTCCAAATTAAAGAAGTAGTGAGAAGAATGGCATTGTTTTAAATTTTTGCAAATCTCTTTAAGTTCTGGCTTAATAGAAGTTATTTTTTCATACCCACTTTTGTATTCAGTCTGTTGCAGTATGTACTTGGAGAAAGGGAGGAAAATTTTAGTGTTTTCAGGTCATTGTGGGTATTCTTTGATATACACAGAAACTCAACAAGTAGTAATTTCCTAAAAGTTAGTTGCAGTGAGGAATCTAAAACTATATTAATGAAATTTTGTACTCTGTTACCTTACAACCCATTGATCTGTCTTCACTTTGAATCTTTTTATTGGTGTATGATTTCATAACACGCATTAGTCATTTGAAAAGTATTGGTTCACCAAATTATGCAGATTATCCAAATGTTAGTACATTTTATTATACACTATAAAAAATTCACATAATTATCAACACAGATTTCATCGGAAAAGTTTGTCGTATGCTCATAGTGGTGGATATAGGTTTCCCAAAACTCTAATTTTTTGCTTGAAAGTTCCAATCATCATTGATAATTGGCAATAAATGCTGTTGATTGTTTTCCTTGAAGCAGAGGCTCACTGTTCTTTTTTGAAAAAATGTCTGCCGGATACCTGTGTCTCATTATCCTTGGTTCGTCTAGTCATCATTTCATGTAGCAGAATATTTCTTCCCGTGGTCGTGTCTAAGGGGTGAGATGCTGTTTTATCGATTCCTTAAGCCAGAAAGGTGATAATGAGCTACACATATTTCCAAAGTATTTTTCTGGACGGTGAAAATGAGGGTACTGTTGTTTAGGGCCTGAACCTTTTCCAAACATCTGATTGTGTTCGATGAGCTAGAAAGGAAGCACCAGGTAGTCACCGCGAGAAGCGTGGTCAAGTACAAGAGGCCTTCCAAAAACATGTGCAGCTTTCCTTGTGTGTGAGTTACAGCTTCCTGAAAACTTTTGTTTCTGTGCATAAAGATGTCTCTGGTGGACTTGGGGAAGAGGTTGCTAGAAGCAGCACGGAAAGGCCAGGATGATGAAGTGAGAACATTGATGGCAAATGGCGCCCCGTTCACCACAGACTGGGTAAGCTCTCTCGATTACTCCCAGCGTGTGTTATTACCAGTCTTTTTCTGAAAGGCTAAACAGACTTTATTGATTTCTCTTCACTCTCTTTCTCCCTCATTCTCCCCACAAGAGTTTAATTTTCTTTGTTTCATCTGAGTATGTGGTTTTCTTTTAGTTTTCTAATTAAAAGAGTCTCCTGTGGCTACATAGGTGGTAATTGTAAAGGTGTTAAATACTTGTGATTTTCCATAATGCTTTTTAGAGTATTTTCTAAAAGTTTAATTCTCCCTGGAGTGTCCTTGGGTTATAGGCTTCTGTAATTAGCTAGAAATTAAACATTTCTCTAAAATGTCCCGGTTAATAAGGAATAGTCTTAGCCATTTCGTTTCCTTTATCACTGTTAACCATTAAAGAGGAGGGTGTAATTTCATGAGCCGAGACAGCCAGCCTGGAGAGCAGAGTTTTGGGAGATCCAGGTCCAGGAGATGATGTGGGCTTGCTTGGCATCACAGATTTTGTAAGCATTGCCTAATTTTAACAATTCAGTGAGTAAGTGTTCTCTCTTCTGGGGCGATTAATTCATAACTTTAGAGGCCGGCAGATTCTTAGCACTTCACAAAAAGGGAGAAAGGAAACCTATGAGATGAGCATTCTATAAATAGACCTGAGAAGAGCATTGTGAATTAAATCCAGATAGGCAGCGAAGCTGAATATATGAAAAGCAAAGAATAAATGAAGTAGGCTTAAAATAAAGAGAAAGGAATGGCTCTCTGCCCAAAGCGGATGCTGATAACTCAGACAGGTTTACGTTGAGATATGTGGCTTATTGATGGTGACACACGTCGCTACCTTTTTATTGCCTCTTCATCAGTGTTTTTGCTTTGCTTTACTGTGGCAACAAACTTCTAGTCTCACTAATTAAATTGGCAGCCACATGCAACTTTCTAGTCCCTGCCCTTTCCTAAGAATTGTTTTGAACTTACCTTCCCTTCACTCTCGACTCAGAATGCTCTTGTCTGTCCTTTTTTTCTCCTTCTTTTAAGCTCTGCTTAAAATCATGTCATTTAGGACTCTTACCTGATAAATCCAGTTGATTTAAACCTGTTATACTTACCACTTACTTAATTCGTGGTATATTTATTTGCCCATTAGTATATTAATTTTTTAATTAAGTCATTTCTTCAGTGCTGACTGCCCAACCAGACTCTCCCTCCAGGGGCAGGAACCATAGAATTCACCTCTTATTCATTTGTTCCTCTCCAGTAACGATTTAGGAGTCTGCACCCAGTTAGCATTCAGTGGGTATTGTTTTCCCACAGCTTGGAACGTCACCCCTCCACCTTGCAGCCCAGTATGGCCATTATTCCACAGCAGAAGTGCTCCTTCGAGCAGGCGTCAGCAGGGATGCCCGAACCAAGGTGGACAGGACCCCCTTGCACATGGCGGCCGCTGATGGACACACGCACATCGTGGAACTTCTCGTTAGGGTAAAGCGAGAATCGTGTTGGGTCTGACACCCACCCCCCCTTTCTTACTTAAATGGGTGGTAGGAAGCTAGGTTGGGAAAGATTACGTTTAGGACAGTTTATAGAATTGAGTTGCATCTTTTTCAAGAGTAGTCGTGGCTATGAGGATTTTGTTTTGTAATCTTTTAAAAGCTAAACAGGCTTTATTGATTTTTCTTTATTCCTTTTCTGCAGGTGTTCTTTGCACTTATGCCTATTTTTTGAGACAATCAGCTCTGTTAATAAATGCAGCAAAAGTCTGTTCCGTTTTTCTCCCATCTGTTATAATTTCCCACTGACGTCCCTAGAAGACCCACATATTGAAGGCATTTTGTCTGTCAGCATTCAGGATCGTTTAGAAATGTTTTTCTCTTTGAGACGTCTTAAACGTGATCTAAATTTGAATATGCGTAATCTGGAAATCCTCCATAGTGGTGGCAGAATTTTGCACCTGTGCTACTGTAACCAATGTCCGTTTGAAAAACTTATTTTTCTGTGACAGAATGGTGCAGATGTGAATGCCAAGGACATGCTGAAGATGACAGCTTTGCACTGGGCCACCGAGCACCACCATCGAGATGTTGTAGAGCTGCTTATCAAATACGGAGCTGACGTCCATGCTTTTAGCAAGTTTGACAAATCTGCCTTTGACATAGCTCTGGAGAAAAACAATGCTGAGATTCTGGTCATCCTTCAGGTCTGGTTCTTTTTGATCCCAAGTCCACTTCAGTTGAAGTTAAGGATTTTTTTGTGGGTGTTGAATCAAAACTGAACTTTCCCTATCTTGTCAAAATAGCACTTCTAATATGCTCAATCTGTGACCCAGTGTAATTAGTATCTTTTTTAAAAATAATATTCTCTAAAGTCCTGAACTATTTATGGTGATCGAATAACAGTATTGGTGGCCAGTACAAAACAGGATTTAGAATGTTTTTTTCTCCGTGAAAATTTCTCTATGTTTTCTGAATGTATGTCAACTGATGTGAGACAATACAGAGCTCCAAAGCCTATGGAGTCATAAGGAAACCATCTCAGAATCAAAAGTTAGCTGTGATGACTTCACCCATGAATTTCTTAAGCCAGCACTTATATATCAGGGAATAACAGGATGCGGAATGCAAAGATTAATAGGCCATGGCCCTGTCCTTGGAGTATTTACAGCATGATGAAGTTTAAACGAAAAATAATGCATTGCAATACTCTGATGATGAACAAATTTCTAGCAGCCGTTAGGGGAGCACAGAGGAGGGAGTGTTAGTGGTGCTTGAGGCAAGCATTAGAGTGGACACAGAAACTGAACTGAGTTTTAAAGGAGAAGTAGGCAGAGAAGTGAGAAAATGATATCCTCGGCGAGCAAAAGAACACATCAAAGACACAGGTGTGAAAGGGCATGGACTGTTCAGGAAAGAGCAGGTAGCTCTGACTAGAGACTGAGCCAGGGAAATGGGGTTTGGGAGTGGCAGGAGCTGAGGCTGGAGAGTTGGGCTGCGTTCTCAATGTAGGGGTGTCGCATGGCATAGTTTGCACTATTTCGTGGGTAATGGGGATCCAGTAGAAGCTTTTAAATAGAGGGTTCATATAGTTGGACTTTTTTTAAGATGATAATTTGGAGTGTCATATGCAGACTGGAGAGAGGAGACTCGACACTAAAGAACCATTGTGACTTCCATGAGGCCAGGCGAGAGCCAGCGATGACTCGAGTGACAGAAGTGATACTGGGAACAGAAGAAGGGGTAGATTCAAGAAGGAATTTAACAGTAACCAGAGAATGGAGAGTTTGTTTCAAGCTGAAGCTCTTAGTCAAGGGGACAGTTATATATGAAAAATAGCCATTTCTGCTGCATTTTCAGTCGTTTGTTTGTTTGTCAGTTTGTTCGTTGGTTCTTACAGTTGCTCCCTCTAGGCTGTCATCCTCTTCAACTTCCAATCCCCTGTCTTCGGGTTCTTTCATCATTGGGGCTTTTTAAACAGTGACCATGTTTGTAGAAAATTGCTTCCGATAGTAAAAAGATAAAATGAAATAAAGATAAGCCTCTTTACACTGAAATTGCACAGACACACCTGAAGCAAAATGCAGCATGTGAAACTAGACTTGAAAATCTGGCCTTCATTTATTTGCCTGTTGTACATTCTCTGAGGAATTCTTCAGTGGCAGAATGAAGCAAGTAGTTGGGAAGAGCTCTGGAGAATATTCTTCTCTGTAGCCTCTCTGTGGGGACCTCCTGCTAGCACATCGACATGCGGATAATCGATCATAGAATATCAGTGCTGGAGATTACTTTTTAGACCGCCTCTCCCCTTTATTTTTCAAAAAAAAAAAAAAAAAACAAGATCCAGAGAGGTTAAGTGAATCATGTAGAAGTTTTTGCAAAGGATACACCTTTCTTTTTCTAAAGTAAAAATAAGCCTAGGAAAGCAACTTTACGTCTCTGTTGCCCTGGCCTAGGGCATGAGGTGGTGAGGCAGGGAGGGGATGATGGAGGGAGGCAGTGATCTTAATGAGAGCTCTGAGCTCCCTGGGGCTCTATATGCCAGAGCCCATTCTGCTTGATAGGGCATTGGGGGTCGGGGGTGCCCCTTCGGTCACCGTGTAACTAAGTTTAATAAGTGTTGCGACTCAGAAATCTCCATCTTGTTTTATAGGAAGCCATGCAGAATCAGGTGAATGCTCATCCCGAAAGAGCCAACCCTGTGACCGTGGCTACCCCGCTTGTCTTCACGTCAGGAGAAGTCGTCAGCCTTGCTAGCCTCGTGTCTTCAGCCAACACCAAAGCAACCTCAGGTAGTACTCCCATAGTATGGCATTCATTTTAGACTTAAAATGAACAGAACCCCAGATTTTCCCATGAGATTAATAGATACCCTGTCTGATACTTACTCCTTTATTAAACTATTTCCCAAATAGGAGATTTATAATAGATTTTAAAGCTAATGCACTTATCCTGTCTGGGGAAAGGATGATCATACATAGGGGTTATATGAGTGCTGACAGTATTAGAAGTAAAATATTTTACAGATTAATATGTTGAAAGATTATGTCTAACCCCAAAATGAAAATATAGGGGTGCTTCAGTATGGTACCACTAAGGAAAATAGTTAAATATCCATAGTCCAAAGCAGTAACAAAGCAGAAACATAAGTGGTTGTTGGAATACTGATGTGAAAGAGGTACGTGTGCTTATTTGACATGCGAGTCTCGATTTGTTTTTGAGAACATATATAACAACAAAATAGCAGAGAAAAGCACTCGATGTTGATCTTTTGAAACCTGTATGTTTTTAACAAAACCGTCAAACTAAAAAGGAGAAAACTCAGTTTGTTTCAAATATTTGTTTACAAATATTTGTTTTACAGCAAAGAAACTTGTGTCCTCTTTAAATAAATTTTCCAGCTGACTCTTGTTTTTTTCCGTTTCTGACTCATTTAAAAACAAGCAACTGTATTCCTAGTTTGTATAATCTCAAAGGAAGATGTTGAACGAGGTGTTATTGAGAGGCAGTGTGATACAATAGAAAGAGCACATACATATATACGTAGAATTGTGCATTCAGAACTGCGTTCAAATACTGATTTATGAGTTGATTAAATGATTGACTGTAGGAAAACTGCTTATTTCTCTAAGCCTTCTTTACTTATCTACAAAATTGAGATATAGTAGTATCCACTTTACGAGTTGTGAGACTTCGAGATGTTTTAGTTCCGTGTCCACTTCATAGCAGAGCTTCAATACCAGCCGCTAGTGTTAAGTGAAAACGAACTTCCCATTAAAGGTTGACTCCGTCATGCCCACAAGGGGGCAGTAGTGACCTTCATTTTATAGGCCATCAACTCTTAAAAATCACTGTGCTTTGCTTTCAGCTGAATGATTCCAAAAATTTAGCTTAAATATACGTGTATATGTAATCAGCACATTCACAGCCTTTTGGATTTGTTGTGGTTCAGGCCACATGGGCTAGAACAAGTGCTTTCATGATCTCAAAGTCTTTAGAGGCCAATAACGTTGCGTGTTCACAAACGCGCAAAAAGACCTAGGGTTGATCTTTAATCTAATTACCGAAATTCTCCAGAATAGTGAAAAGTCAAAGACGTTCAGGACAGAGATTCATAGCCTTAGCTCTTCCCATGGCCTATGTAATGTTTGCCATGTCGCTTTTGGCAAACCTACTCTCCTTTATCTCTTCTGTATGTTGACAACTGCAAATTGAAATTGCTAAACCATCCCATAATAGAGCTCATCTCCCCGGTGTTGTCTTAAGGAAGCAGTTCTTCCTAGCTCTCCTCTTTTAGGGGTTTGGCTTTATCAGTGCAGATAAAAGAAAGGAGAAAAGATGTGCAGCAAATTCAGGTTGTCTTATTCTTAGATTTTCTTTTCCAGAATAGTGGGCGGGCTTCTTGTTTCCCATCATCCAGTAATATTTTTAAGCATTAACTGAAAGTATCCTAGGATTATCACATTGGTGGATATTTTTGATACCAAAATCCAGATTACAAAGTTTGCTTTTCATTTTCCATTTGTGACTAAAGATATGAATCATCATAGTGCTACTAGCAAACTGCGGTGATTTGGGAAGACAGCCTAATTTAAACACTAATCAGGGTAAAACAAAGTTATGAAAATGAATTTCCTGCTTCTGTAGAGTCAAAAGATACGCTCCAAAGTCAAGTATAAACAGCTTTGTGTTGGTTCCTAGAGTACAGGCTCGGAATCTAATGAATTAGGATCTAATCTGGCCTCTGATGTTTACTAGCTGCATGACCTTGGGCAAGTTACTTAGTTTTTCTGGATCTAGTTTTCACTAAGTCATCGAGATTGTCTATACAATCACCTAAATCCTGGTCTGAAGAGTTTATATATATATATAAGCCACATTCTGAATAGGTACCAAGAGTTGTCACTGATAATGCTATTTCCCCTCCAAAAACAACAGTATCCATGCACATTTTACTGTATTTGATGTTGTGCCTTATATTGAGGAGAAAACAATTAACATTATTGAACAATGAAGTACTTTATTTTCCTGGAACTTGCTGAGATAAGTCTGAAGAGGTAATCTGCATAGTCTCTTTTCAGTTTCAACTGTGTCTATAAGAATACTGAACCTGATTTTTCACAAATGTTCTTCATTTTGCTATTGAGGGGAAGGCGGGTGAGTCATTATGTTGGAATCAAAGGGAGAGAGCCCTTAGGTTGGACTCATCATATGCTAAAAGTATATAATGCTTTTGTCATGAAGCAGTTGCTCCCAGCTCTTCTGTTCTCCTTTAGCTGGTGGCCTAGCTGATGTTCGGCCCACTTGGACCTTAATTACAACAGCCTTGCTGTGTGTGTGTGTGTGTGTGTGTGTGTGTGTGTGTGTGTGTGTGTGTGTGTGTGTACACTGTGGTAAAATAATAGCAGCCTTGATTTTTGATCGCTAGTGACTTACTGTACATATCGTCCAACCTCCACAAGGTGATATATATCTAAAAACCGCTTGTTTCTTATTTTTTTCATCGTGAGTTCTCACGTCAGTATTTGGTATGTCTGACTGAGCGATTGGAAGAGCGCACACTCAGCAGGGAGGTTAGGAGCTAGGACGGAGCTGGATCTTGCTGGCAGGAAGCCGCTGGCCAGACCTCGGCTCCTTTCTGGAGGTCAGCGTATCCCACCGTTTCAGACCACGTGGTTCCCTGCATGTTTTATGAGAGTTAGAATAAGTAGGGATAGCATCACGATGTCCACTTCATCCCCGCGCCCACAGTCACCCCCCAAAAGCTTAGGGAGGTTTGCTGCTGCGAGGAGCACCATTGCTCAAGGAATCTACCTTTCAAAGGAAAATCTGAAATTTAAGTTTATGAATGAGTTAGGTTACCTAGATTAATCGTACCAGAAAAGGATTCTTTGCTTTGTGGGAGGATTTATTATAAGGAGTGTTAAATAAGAGTTTCCCTAAATGTTTTACAGATAACTGACTTTTTGATAGAAGAAAGGCTGGGACAAATCTTTAAGTATAGATAGTGGTAAAATTTAAAAATTAAGAGCACATTTATAAAGAAGATAGGCATATGGGTAAGAGTCCAGTGAGGAGACAAAACTACATGGCGAATTGTATAATTTTATTTTATATATGTCTATATAATCTCTAAACTTGTATGTGTAATTGATGAAGAATTACTAGTTAGTAAGAGTGAACTAACTACAAAGAGGTATGGAGAACCCTAAAGAACACAGGACTAGTCGATATAGGGAGCAGCCGCAGCCACTACTTCTATATGACAAAACTTAATCGAATGCTAGCTGACAAGTAGTGATTATAGGATCCAGCTTCGGTATCACAAGGCAAGGCAGGGAAGGGTGGAATTGGAGCACAAAGGCTCCAAAAATTTACAACTGGCACAATAAGTATCTTGGAAATAGGAAAACATTAGTAATTCATTTTATAGACTATTTATGGAAAACTCTTGAGTGATGCTTTGGGTTCATAAAGTTGGGCATACGTGCTGCCAGATCTAATGCACACCCCTCTTGGAACTGAGCTGTGAGAACAGCAGGCAAAATACAAGACGAAAAGGTTACGAACAAAGTTTTTTTAAAAAGCGCATCATGACACAAGTAGATGATTGGTTTTTAGCGCTAATCGATTGTACTACCCTTTGACCTTCAGTATGTGAAATGCCAGGTTGTTCACTGTCTTCACACCAGAGGTCAGTCTGAGCCTTCCTGGCTGTCAGCGATGACTAGAGGTCATGGGCTGAGCAGAGCCCCTGCGGCCCGGCCCCAGCCCGGGAGCGGGCGGCTCTGGGTCTGTCAGCTGCTAACGCTCTGCACTGGCACTGGCGGTGCCGAGAGTGAGCGGCTGGGAGTGTCTGTGGCCCTACACCAAGCGAGCTACTGGAGTCCACTTTAAAAGGAGAACGTCTTAAACCTTAAAAGAGCTTAACGCCGTGCTAATTGGTTCATATTGGTTTGTATTAGAGAGCGAGATTAAGTAAGGACATAAGAATGAAAAGCAGAGGTTTTGATTTACTAAGCCATTTTTAGCTCATCTCAATTTGTTCTCTCCACTCGACCTCATTTGCCTTTTTTACCGAAATAGGTGCCCCCCATGCCTCCTCAGCAGTGCGCCTCTCAAATTCCACCACCTCAGTGCTGGCCACCCTCGCAGCCCTGGCCGAGGCATCAGCCCCCCTCTCTAACTCACACAGAGCCACAGGTAGGTGAGGGAGGTCTGCTGGGCCAATCACTGTTTCTCCTCTTGTTGTTAAATCTCCAGCAGATTGAATTTGCACGAAATATTAAAGAATTACGGTTAATTAAAGATGACTAGGAAGAAGGGATGCAGTGTCCTTGAGCATCAGAAAGAAAAATCACTACGTCATATAATCAGACAGCTGAATAATACCAGAGGATGACTAAGTTACTCCTTTGTATTTTCGCAGTTTCAAGTTTGTCTGCCCTGACTTCAGTTGCTTCAGATTGAAATATTTAGTCTTAATTAGCAGATTTTTTGGAAATACTCTGTGTTGTGTTTTGACTGATGCTATTGTAGAATGATTCAGAGTAGCCGCTTGGATGTCTTGCAATAAAGCATCAAATACATGGGACAGCCACCTCTCCCATTGTCATACCCTGTGGACTTCAGGTTTGCTTGGTTTGTTTTTACTGGAAGTAAAAGTTATTTTGGCATTTCCAATGGAAGTGAGCGGGTATATGGTGAATAGTGAGTACCCTTCTGACACTTAAAACGGAAAGGTTCGAGGTCACTTAGCCAGAGATAGCTATCTACGGAGAAAAGGCTCAGGGCTTCATTCAAGTGGAGCCTAGTAGTTGTACGTAGGGCTAAAGAGTCATCTAGCAATCTTTCTGGAACTCTCTGGCAGTCTCCATCATAAATAAAGGCAGGTTCTGATTTCTTTCTACCATTGACATTTGGGTGGTGAGAACATCCCTCCAAGCCCGTTTTTCTGACTGGGTGCAGTCATAAAGATCTCTGCTCAGACGTGGAGGGTGAGCGGCGTGGCAGAGGGGAGCAGTATGTCCAACTCGTGCTTGTTATTCTTTTGATTTGCTCTTTGATCTTGGATAAATCGGTTCTTCAGGTCTCGGTTTCCACGTTTCTGGCATATTGGTTAGAGTAAATTATCTGTCGAGGTCCTTTCAGCTGTGACACTTAACCAGTTCCTTGTTTCTGAGTGTGAATGCTCCGCTTCCATTGAACCACGTGAACGTGTGTCATGTGGACAGTCCCCACCCCACTATTGCGGAGTTCTGCTTGTGACTCTTCAGAAAGAGGAGTTTATAGTGGTAGGAACCGTATCTCCTGCTGGTTACTGGGGATATTGACTAACCAAACTGAAAATCTTGACTCAACCTAATACATATATAAATCTCTTAGAGAGGTAGCTGGCACAAAGTAAGTAGTCAGTGTTACTTGTTATTAATATTGTTGATCTGTCAGGTGAGAGAAGCCACCTACCATTTTTGTCTATCAAGACTTCCTCAGGCTTTGACTACTTAACATATTGTTTTGTTAATTCAGTATTAAATGCCTCGATTTCCTTAGAGAAATAGATTTAGTCTGATTTATTGCTATTTCTCTAAGCTCCGTAGATTTATTTAGACTCTTAAGATGCTTCCTGAAAAAGAGTTCGAAGATCAAATATGTTGGGGAAACTCAGCATACTGTATCCCCTGCCAGAGAGTCACAGTGCTCATCAGCCTTGGGAGTCTCTGATACTTCCTACAAAGCAAACAGAAAAGTTTAAGCATGTTTAAACCAGCATTTTGAAAGTGTGTTTTTACATAGAACCCATCTTTAGTGAAAGCTACTAACATCTCAGTGAAGACGTTTTAGAAAATACTGTTTTAATGCATTCCTTATTTTCGTTTCTGCTCTGACTTAGCATTATTCATAAGAGCTTGTTTTTGTGTACTGTTGAATCTAACTTTTTTTTCAAGTTTTCTTATTCCTGATATTATCAATTTCAAGAAGACTGAAATTGCTATGCTCCAATTTTTTAAAAAGCTGAAATTTTAAATTTACTTTCATCATCTCTAGTTAATTCAGAGGAAATCATAGAAGGAAACTCTGTTGACCCATCAGTCCAACAAGTGGTGGGGAGTGGAGGCCAGAGGGTCATCACCATAGTGACGGATGGCGTCCCCTTGGGCAACATCCAAACTGCAATCCCTGCTGGAGGCATTGGCCAGCCATTTATTGTAACCATGCAAGATGGACAGCAAGGTGAGTTATCCCATTGGACAGTAGTGTGTTAAGAGATATCTTAGACCCTCAACTGTCCTCCAGAAATGAGGCATTAAGGGGATGCGAGAATGCCAGGTACCACATGGGGCAAAGAAGGTCTGAAAAAGAAAGAAACAGGTTGGCAAAGGCTTTTTCCCTAATATATTTACAATTTGTGAGTAAAAACCAATAATCTGGTTGAAAGAGCAAATAATATGAACCAGTACTTCACAGAAAAGAAAATCCTGATGGTTCTTAAAAATATGATAATATGTTCAGCCTACTTTATTCGTAGCAAGAGAAATGTAATTAAATATTGCACTGAGATGCCATTATTCCACTACATTGTCAAAGGTGTGGAAAAACAGGCGCTCTTATAAATCGCTCATGAGAGTGTAAATTAATTAATTAATGCACCCTCTGAAGAGCAAATTGGCAATGTCTATCACTAATAAAGATACACTTACCTTTTGGCTAAAAAGTTCTTTATCTCTGAATTCATATTCACACACACACAAATGACATGTACTAAGTTATTCATTTTGGAATTATCTGTTATCATCAAAGATTAAAAGAACTTAAGGAAAAAAAAAAAGAACCCAAGTATATGTCAGTAGGGAGCTGGTTAAATAAATCATGGTACACCCATACAGTGAAGTACTCTGCAGCTGTGAAGACGGTGAGGAAGCTCCCTCTGGACCGGCGTGGTCTGAGCTCCAAAATAGATTGCTAAGCGACAAGAGCAAGGTTCAGGACAGTGTGTAGATTATACATTTTTAAAAGGGGGAAACGTGTATTTGCTGATATATGCATGAACTTTGCTATCTCTGGAAAAACATTCAAGAACAACACTGATAACATTGGTTGCTTCGGGGGAGGACACCTGAGTGGCTGGAGATGGATAGGAGGCTTTTCACTGTGTGCGCTTTTATAGATTTTAATTATTGAACCATGTGAATGTATTATGTATTCAAAAAATGTATAAGTAAATTTTTTTGAAAAGAGAAAGAAACTATTCATTACAACTTCATTCCTTAAAAATATTGGAGATTGAAAAGCGGAGGGTTGGTATAATTGCCTGTATTACCAAAATGTTGACTTGGCTTAAATAATTATGGAGACTTTATAATTTTCAGATTATTTGAATTGATGGATCTTTGCAATATGAGAAGAAAGGAGGAATTAAACCTTTATAAATCCAAGCTCTGGTATCATAAATTCTTGTTGATCGTATTTGGAAAATAAAAACCCTCATGCTATTCTTATATCCACAGCCACCTCCCTAACCCTATTCCTAACGCCTGGCAGCCACTAACTCATATCTGTCCTCTGTCTCTATGCTTTTGTCATTTAAAGAATGTTATAGAAAAGGAATCATATAGTATGTAACCTTTTGAGATTGGCTTTTTTCTCTCAGCATAATTCCCGTAAGATCCTTCCAAGTTGTTGTTTGTCTCAATAGTTCATTCCTTTTCACTGCTGAGTAGTATTCTGTGGTATGGATGTACCACAGTTTGTTTAACCATTCATTCTTCATTGGAGAACATTTAAGTTGTCTCCAGTTTGGACTGTCTGAACAGAGCTGTTATGAATGATCACATATAGGTTTTGTGGGAACATCACTTTTCAGTTCTCTGATATAAACGCCCAAAAGTGCAGTTGCTGGGTCGTATGGGAAGTGCATGTTTCATTTTTGTAAGAAATTTCCAAACTATTTTCTAGATTAACTGTACCACTTTACATTCCCACCAGCAATTTATGAATCCAGTTTCTCCACATCCTCTCCAGCATTTGGTGTTTTCACTATTTTTTACCTTGTTTGACATTCTAGTAGGTGTGGAGTGTGTTGTATTCTTATGTGTGCTGATCCTTCTCTCATCTATGAGAAGATAAATAATTAAATTAGATACAGTTAATGGCAAACTGCTTTCATAAGAGGTTTCTCAAAAATCTTGTATAAGGACATCAGGCCTTCTTTAGATAAATTTGTCCTGCAGAATTGTAAGCCAGTTGGTTCTAGCTTCTGACCTAGAGTCAGACATCTCTATCTACGAGCCTCAGACCTGGCTCCTAATTGCGTGACTTCCAGATCTGCAGATTTTTGCCCTTCTTTTCAGAGGCCTTCTCAGTGCCTCTCTAATCCTTTCTGTTTCTCTTTGCAGGGCCATGCCCTACCTGTTGATTCTAAAATCCAAAGGGATGTGAAAAAAACGATATCAGAATATATTTCAATTTATTTTCTAATTTGAAGCAAGCAAAACCTCTTTGTTTTCCAATGTATTCATCTCCTCCAATTGGTGTCCTTTGGCTTGTAGTTCTAACTGTACCTGCTGGTCAGGTTGCAGAGGAGACTGTAATTGAAGAAGAAGATGAAGATGAAGAAGCAGAGAAGTTGCCATTGACTAAGAAACCAAGGATCGAAGAGATGACAAACAGCGTGGAGGAAAGCAAGGTAATGTTTTTAGCAGCGCGGAGAGGAGAGAAGGGAGGATTCGAAAGCCATAACTGCTAAGGCCTGAGCCCGTCTTTACCTTTTGTCTCCTCTCTGGATAATCTGTGATCGAGTGTTGTTACCAGTGGTGACATGGTTTACTTTTATAGGAAGGCACTGAGCGAGAGCTGCTACAGCAGCAGCTCCAGGAGGCCAACAGAAGAGCCCAAGAGTACCGGCACCAGCTCCTGAAGAAGGAGCAGGAGGCCGAGCAGTACCGCCTCCAGCTGGAGGCCATGGCCAGACAACCGCCCAATGGCGTCGATTTCGCCGTAGTGGAAGAGGTGGCTGAGGTCGATGCCGTAGTGGTCACAGACGGGGAGACGGAGGAGAGAGAGACGGAAGTGACTGGAGCAGGAGGGACCACCAAGCCTCGCGGGGGAGTTTCCATGGAAACTGTTTCATCTTAACGTACAAGGGCCACAATTTGTACTGTGTCCATCTTTTTCCTCTTTTTAAAAGAAAATACAGAGGACAAACACCGCGTAAAAGCTAAGGATGTCCTTAAGAAGAAAACTATAGCAGCGTCGAATGCTTATGCTCAGGAAGGCTCTCTGTGCAACTGGAAAAATCAAAGCCAAATTTAGGGAGCACTTCTGAGGGCCAAAGAATAGGGACCAGATTTCTCAGCTACGTCACTGCTTTGAGCATAGAGGTAAAAGAATGCCGTGTGCTGTAGACTGATTGTTTTTTAAATAACTGACTTTCTATCAGAAGATTTTACTGTCAAAAGTTTTTGAGAAAACATTCCTAACGCGGACACACCCAGGGCCTTTAATAGCTGCACCATCAAGTGACCTGAAAACTTGCCTTAGATTCATGATATGTGTCTGTTAGAGAAGACACTAGTTGGGAGCAGGGCTAGGAGCGAGTTCAGGTAAAGAGAAAGGAATATGTTTTGCTTCCAATGGAGCAGGCGCTTCCTACCATCCTGAGTTCATTTCACTGAAAAGAAATCTGTGATTGCCTGACTAAATTTGCATCCATTGTGTCCATAGCTCAGATGCCAGTTTAAGAAACTGAAATGTAATTTTTAAAAACTGGAAAGGAAAGAAAACTTGTTTATGTGGGAGAAGTGTATAAAAACCCAGAACCCTCCGGGCTGCACTTTCACAATGCTGGAACGGAGCCAGAAAGAGGCTGCTGGGGTTAGGAAACAATCTGGTGTTGAGATACAAACTTTGTTCTGGCTGGATTTTATGAAACGGCAGTCAGCATGGCGGTCTGTCAGCAGAACAACTTGCTTCCAGTTATTTACGTCATGTCAAGCTTTAATATCAACTCTTTAATTTGTAAAATTTGTTGTTTTCTAAGCGTGCCTTTCTGTGGAGCTTATGTGATATCCCCTTATATGAAGAAGGGGCTTAGGAGAGCTGAGTGCCGTGAGGATGCTGCATAGTTCTCTTGTCCTTTGACCTGGAGTGAGCAGATGGCTCTGCTTCCTTAAGGGAAGACCTTGTGCCTTATAGGTGCTCAGTGTTGGGGAGCAAAGGCTGTGAGAACCAAGGAGTCTGGCCAGATACTTCGTCTGCCTCACTCCCTTCTCTCCCGCTACGCCTGCTCCCTTTGCCTAGACATTTTTGGAAAGTGTTTCATTGCTGGGTTTTCTTCGTGTGCCAGCTTGGAGTTTTATCAAAAGAAAGGGAACTATGGATGGAGAGGAAAAGGTCGTGGAGAAGTTACATTATGGAGGTTGTTGCCTTTGAAATTTGGCCCTCATCGTTCTTGACTTGCCTGCTTGCTTTGCTGTAAATGAGAAGAAGAAACCAGAGGGAGATGTGCCAAGTAAACATCTGAATGACTGTTTAGAATATGGTTTTCTTAATTAGCGATCATGGGGAAAGCATACATTTTTAATTTGGTATAAAACTTGACAGTTAACGTGGTTCTATTTACCTTGATTAGTGAAGTAATTTGCCGCAGTTTTCCAGAGGTGAAAAATTATTTGGGGCTCAAAATAGACTGAAAACAGAACTCCCCGAACCAAGTTTAACAAACAGGATTGGCTGTTAGAGGCCTGTAGGCAAAAATTTCAGTTTTGAAATTAATTTTGACTACTGGCCACCTTAGCTGGGTTTTGTCTGTTGACTTGAGGACTCCGGGCTGTTGGGGATGACAGAGAAATGCAGTGGGGGAGCCCAAGTGGGGTGACGGTGAAACTGTGGTCTTTGCTCTCACATCAGCCTGTTTCTGTTCGTGATTTTTTTCCCCGAGTCCTTTTGAGAACCAGGTGCTAACAATAAGCTGCTGTCATGTGCCATTTCAGAGACTTGGCTTACCTGCAGATGGACCAGGTGTCATTTTAGATGTTTCGTTTATGTTCTTGGTGTCTCTGTCAACTTTAATTCCTTTTTTTTTTTTCTTTTTTGTTAAGGGGGTGGGGGTTAACACTGCAGAAGGTACCCAGGCCCCTCCACCTCCTTCTCCAGGGTGGCCTCTGGCTGGGGGTGAAGAGTTCCCATCCAGCATTCCATTTTGAGCACACTGAGTCCCAACCATTTTGGGGAGCTGTTTATCAGTTGTTTCTCCTTCTGCAGGAGGCTGCCATTCCCACCCAGAAAAAACTCTAGTACAGCCCAGGTCATTTTTGACGATGGGCTCTCTGAGACCAGCAGTTAAAGGACGGGTTGGGGTTAAGGAGAGGGAGAAGGGAGATAGATGTCTGGAGAAAGATGAGTACCAAAAAGATTTTTGTTCTTATTTACTCTTAAGAGACCTTCTAGCATCCCAGAAGAGAGAAGAAGGCTTTGGTCTCCAGGTGTTTTGCCGTGGAGAGAATGGCAAGTCAGCACCTCCCGGAGTAGTTAGAAGTTTACATTTTAAATCAGGAATGGCAGTGCCCTTGTATGATTTTGCATTTCTTTCTGGATCAGCCATGGAAGTTGGGACAGTGTGGCTGGTCTTCTGGGTTGGGGGCTTCGAGCTGGCTTCTCGGCAAGGTTGGATGACAGAATCAGATAGACGAGTGCTTCAGAGTTGGTGCTCGAGCAGGGGGACCCGGGTCCTGGGGTGGCTGCCTTCTTAAAATAAAGCTGCCTTAATGATATCAGTATTAACGTAGGATCTTCAGACCCTACCTTTGCATTTTATCTACAGCCTTCCCCCAAAAAAGAGAGAAAAAATAAACTTTATTATCTCTGTTCTTGTTCCTGGCTTCAGGGAATTACTTACAAATGTCTAAGTGTACAGTCCCTTCCTGTCACTACCTCTGTGGGATCTCTTCATTGCAACGCCAGAGTTGAGGTCTCGTCACTGAAATGTGGGAGAACTTGGCTTTAGGTTTTCAGAGTTCCGAACTCAGTGCCTTAAAGGACGTTCTTTTTCTCTGTCCGATCTGTGTTGTTATTTCTGGCTTTGCCGGTCTCCCTTCTTCACTTGTAATGTTAGGAGTATATGGCATACGAAATTATTTTTTCTCCCTTATACCGATGTAAAAGAGATGAATTTACCAGAGTACTCTCTGGGGGAAGTCGTGTTGCGTGACCAGGGCATGTTAATGCCCCTTCGCTGGGTGTATGTTTGCGTGTGTGTTTGTAAATACATATGGATTTTCCCACTTTCTGTTTGTTTGGGGTTCAACTCTGGTATAACCTGGAAATGTTTTTATTTCATTAAACACATGAGAGAGGGTTTCTTTGCATTCACTGAACGGGCTGAGGAAGAAAAAGCATTGCGTTGGCCCTTCCGTGAGAGGTGTGCTCTCACAGGCCGTGATGGGGACTGAGGCGTGAGCCCCCAGGGAGCCCAGTGCTGGCGTTCCGGCGGCTTCATTAGCGTGTGGCGCGATGACACCACGTAAGCCGAAGGACGGGCAGAGTCGGGGCAGCGATGGCACGGCCCTTCCACGCTACCAGCCTCCTCTGCGCTCCTGTGGCAGCTCTTTTGACTGGTATTTGTACAGTTTCCTACACCTCTGAACAGGAGGGAAAGCCCAGATAAAGCACCGTGGCAGAAGGAGCGGACGTTCTGTACATCTGCTCTCCCTGTCTAGAAATCTCATTCTTTTGAGAGTGTTCATTCTGAGAAAGCTTGTGCGACCCTCTCCTGACAGATATGGGCCAGCAGAGCTAGAGTTGAGGCATATACTGAGCTCTTCCCAGGAGTTGAACGTTGAGTGGGAATCAGTTTTTATTCCAGTTTATTGGAGAATGGCCCTTGTTCCCTACTCCTAGTGCAGACATCTGCGTGTGGCCGGAGAAGGGGCTTGAGAATGGAATACACGTCAAGACCAGCTGTGCGCCGCTCCGGGCTCTTACCTCTCTCCATGCTATGTTCTCCTCCTGACTTAGTATTCTATTTTCTATGCCAATATATTGAGCAAAAAAGAATATGAATTTGAATTAAGTAGCTTTGAGCCTCTAGTACTGCTTTTTTTTTTTTTTTTTTTTTTTTTTTTGGCCTCTCCAGGGTTAGGGGGTGGGGTGACATTCCTAGACTCTACAGTAGCAATTTGGCTTGTTAATGGCAGGAAATTGTGATTCTCTATCTCCCTCTCCCCTCCCTCTTTCCCCTCTAACAACTTCTGCTTCTGTGACCCAGTTGTTCTTATCTCCTCGAGTCTTTCCCAGAAACTAGAACTCAATTAGTAGGTCATTTCCATCTGTGGGCCTTGTCTTTCCTTTTCCCCTCCCCTCCATCCCTACCACGTATTTTCTGTTTATTCTGATGTGGTTTGTTTCTGAGAATTAATTAGGTCACACCCCGTATCCTGTGCTTCCTAGCTGGTTTCAGGCATCTCGCTCTATCAACAATGATGATAGCAGCTCCCTTCTCTGGCTTTGCCCTGTACACTGTCCTTCTGCCAAGGCCATTCCTGTTGGGGTCTGGGTGTGGGGAGTAAGAGTGTGGGTGGGGTGCCTAGACGCTTCCCAAAACATCCTCAGTTTTTCAGGTTGTCTGACAGCTTTATGTACAGTATGTTGTAGGAAACCTTTCTTTTTTATGTAGGATTTTTAATATAATAAGGTTTGATTCTGATGAGCAAGTTTGTGTGTTTATAGGCGTGTGAGTGAGCGTTTGTGTGTATATACACCTATACAGATCTATATTATATATACAATTTTTGTACTATCATTTAAAATAAAGATATTTCTTAATAAAATATCAAAGTCTTACCATTTCAGGGTGTCATCGAAAATGTTTCCATCTTGCCAATCGGAGATAAACCTCAGTACGGTCACATGCTCCTTAGCAACAGGGAGACGTCCTGAGAAATACATCGTTAGGCAGTTTTATTGTGGGAACAGCACACAGCACACGCGCACAAACCTAGATGGTCTAGCCTGCTACACCCTAGAGTCCTGGGCTCCCAGCCTGCACAGCACGTCACTGCACTGAGTACTACAAGCAACTGGAACAACGGTGAGTATTTGTGTATCTAGATATAGAAAAGGTCCAGTAAAAATGGGCGTAAAAGATATAAGATGGAACACCTGCATAGGGCGCTCACCATGCAGGGACCTGCAGGACTGGAGGTCGCTCAGGTGAGTCAGCGAGTGAGCGTGAGGGGATGTGAAGGCCTGGGATGCACCGCGCTCTACCGAAGACTATGCACACCGTACAGTCAGGCTACGCTAGATTTACAAAACATTAAATCAGGCACAAGAGAAAGTGATGCAATCGAGAGACGCAGTGAACACAAGATGCATGAGGCTGCCACAGCGGAACGTGGCACACTGTTGTATGGCAACCTTTTTTTTATAAGTAGAGTACATTCTAAACAATAAAAAATATAGTAAACACATGAACCAGTAACAGTAGTTTATTATTATCAAATAGTACGTACTGTACATAATTGTACTGCTATACTTTTATACGGCTGGCAGCGCAGTTGGCTCATAGCATCGTGACAAACGTAATTCCTTGCACTGCGACATTACGACGACTGCAGTGTCACTGGGTGATAGAAATGTCCCAGCTCCATTATGATCTTATGGGAGTCGTGTATGCAGCCCGTTGTTAAGTGAAACATCATTACGTGAGCACGACTGTCCTAAGTCTCCCCTTCCAACTGAGCCACCGAGGGCAGAGTGGCGGGGCCTGGCGGGGAGGTCCTTCTTCCCCGGTGGGGTGGCTTCTAACCCAGTCACACTGCCTTTTCCTTACTGGCTCCTCCTCAGTTGGTACTCTTAACAGGCAGAGCAAGTTTGGGTAAGAAGTGAAGTGAGAATGGAGAGAGCTTTTGATTGTCTTGTTAAATTTACATCTTCCCCCTTCTCTCATCCCACACTCCCTCCCCTAAAAGCAAACAACCGAGAGGGAACAGTAGATTCTGTGCCTTGTGTGGGAGTAAAGTCAATGCTGAGATCCAGGGGGAAGAAGCATCAGGCTCAGCAAGGCTTGGAAATAATGGATTCGCTCCGCTGGCTTCTCAGCTATTGTTAGTAAGGTGCTTGTTGCCATCTCGGTCCAGTCCAGCACACACTTACTGAGTAAGCGCGAGTAGCAGTCTGTTTGTGCACACACCCCATTGACAGATAGGGTTGAGTAGCCCCATCTGGCTGGATGGATCCCCATATAGTGTACTGTGTTCTCCAAAGCTGCTCCATTGGCAATAAGGATGCCTTTCTTCTTACATAAAGGAGGGTTATACCAAGGTCAAGGACATAAAAGTACCTGTGTTCAACAACTAGACTCTCTACCCAAGTCGACACCTCGGAAACTGAACACTTGCCATGTACTAGGCTGCGTGCAGATAGTCGCTTTTTGGTAAATACATATCAACAAGTACTGTGTACATATTAATTATAAGGTGCTTCTGGTCTGGCAGGTTCCTCATAAGTGTATATACGATCTTTGCTGAGAGAAGAGCAAGTACTTGAGCCTTTTTTTTTT